TGTAATTATAAGCATTGAAATGTCGTCCAAAAATATAGCTTCTTTTTAGTTATCAGAAAATCTGTTCTATGTAAATTCTTAGGCAGTATAACAGGTACTGCTCAATTGCCCTCCAAAAAAGCATTATCAATTTGCTGTCCTGTCAAGTGGTGAGTTTCCTTACAAAGTCAATGAATACTTTTCATTATTAAAACATTTTAGTATTTTTCCAACGTGGTGTTCCCCCTTGAGAAAAAAAAAAAAAAAAGGCATATCAATTTAATTTGTGTTTCATGATTACTCAGTTTTAGTGTCTTAGATTTTGTGACTATTTATAGCTCTTCTTCTGTGAATTAGTTGTGCATATGTTTTGCCCATTTTTCTTTTTTTTTTTTTCTTTTCGGCTTTTATTTTAGTTTCAAGGGGTACATGTGCAGGTTTGTTACATGGATAAATGGTGTGTTGCAAGGGCTTGAAGTACAGATAATTTTGTCACCCAGGCAATCAGCATACTATTTGATAGGTACTTTTTCAATCCTCACCCTCCTGCCACCCTCCACTTTAAAATAGGCCGTAGTGTTTATCAGGCCCTTCTTTGTGTCCCTGTGGACTCATTGTTTAGCTCCAACTTATAAGTGATAACTGTGGTATTTGATTTTCTGTTCCTGCATTAATTAGCTTAGGATTATGGCCTCCAGCTCCATCGATGTCACTGCAAAGGACATGATTTCATTGTTTTTTTATGACTGCATGGTATTCCATGGTATATATGTACATAGTGTATATGAGTCCTTGCCACATTGCTTGTTCTTGTTGGCTTTGTGACATATCAGATGATTGTAAGGGTGCAGCTTTATTTCTGGGTTCTCTAGCCTGTTCTTTTGGTCCATGTGTCTGTCTTAGGACCAGTACCATTACTGTTTTAGTTACTGTAGCCTTGTAGTATAGTTTGAATTCAAGTAGTGTGATGCCTCCAGCTTTTTTCATTTTTTATATCTGCATAGTATTCAATGATGTATCTGTACCACATTTTATTTATCTGTCTACTGTTGATGGGCATGTAGGTTGATTCCATGTCTTTGCTATTGTGAATAGCACTTTAATGAACATACACGTGCATGTGTCTTAATGGTAGGATGATTTCTGTTCCTTTGGGTATATAACCAATAATGGAATGGCTGTGTCAAATGGTCATTCTGTTTATTTGAGAAATCTCCAGACTGCTTTCCACATTGGCTGAACTAACTTACATTCCCACTAGCAGTGTATCAGCATTCCCTTTTCTCCACAACCTCACCATCATCTGTTATTTTTTTACTTAATAATAGCCATTCTGTTGGTGGAAGTGTAAATTAATTCAACCATTGTGGAAGACAGTGTGGTGATTCCTCAAACACCCAAAGACAGAAATGCATTTGACTCAGCAATCTTATTACGGGGTATATACCCAAGGGAATATAAATCATTCTATTATAACCACACAAGCATGAGTATGTTCATTGCAACACGATTCACAATAGCGAAGACATGAAATCAACATAAATGCCCATTAATGATACATTGAATAAAGAAAATGTGGTATATATACCCCATCGAATACTATGCAGCCATGAAAAAGAAGATCATGTCCTTTTCAGGGACATAGATGGAGTGGCTGGCCGTTATCCTTAGCAAACTAACACAGAAACAGAAAACCAAATACCACGTTTTCACTTATAAGTGGGAGCTAAATGATGAGAACACATGAACATGTAAAGGAGAGCAACACACACTGGGGCATATTGTAGGGTGGAGGGTGGGAGGAATAGGATCAGGAAAAATATAACTAATAGGCTTAATACCGGAATGATGAAATAATCTGTACAACAGATTCCCATGACACAAGTTTACCTATGTAACAAACCTGCACCTGTGTCCCTGAATTTGAAATAAATTTTGCAAAAAATTAAAAAGCATCAAAAGATATACAGTTATGTTTCCTTTGACATTTGGTCACCCAGTTTACTTCCACAAGCTCAGATATTGTGGTTAATTTTAAATATTTAAAAAAAAAAATAGCCATCCTGACTGATGAGAGATAGTGTCTCATTTCGGTTTTGATTTGCATTTCCCCAGTGATTAGTGATGTTGAGCATTTTTATATGCTTGTTTGCTATATGTATGTCTCCTTTTGAGAAGTGTCTGTTCATGTGCTTTGCCCATTTTTTAATGGAGTTGTTTTTTGCTTGTTGATTTGTTTGAGTTTCTTAAACATTCTGGACATTAGACCGTTGTCAGATGCATGGTTTGCAGATATTTTCTCCTGTTCTAAAGGTTATCTGTTTACTCCATGGGTAGTATCTTCTGTTGTGCAGAGTTCTTTAGTTTAATAAGGTCCCACTTGTCGTTTTTTATTTTGTCACAATTGCTTTTGGAGTCTTCATCTTGAAGTCTTTGCCTGGGCCAGTGTCCAAAATGGTATTTCCTGGATCTTCTAGGGGCTTTGTAGTTTTCGGTTTTACACTTAAGTCTTTCATTCATCTTAAATTGATTTTTATATACGGTGTAAGGAAGGGGTCCAGCATCAATCTTCTGCATATGGTTAGCCAGTTATCCCAGCACATTTTATTGAATAGGGGGTCCTTTACCAGTTGCTTGTTTTTGTCAGCTTTATCAAAGATCACGTGGTTGTAGGTGTGCAGTTTTGTTTCTGGATTATCTAGCCTGTTCTATTGGTCTATGTGTCCATTTTTGTACTAGTACCATCTGTTTTAGTTACTGTAGCCTTGTGGTATAGTTTGAAGTTGGGTAGTGTGATGTCCCTGGATTTGCTCTTTTTGCTTAGTATTGCCTTGGCTATTCCTGCTCTTTTTTGATTCCAAATGAATTTTAGAATTTTTGTTTCTAATTCTGTGAAAAATGTCATTGGTTGTTTGATAGGAATATCATTGAATAGGTAAATAGCCTTGGACAATATGACCATTTTAACAATATTGATTCTTCCTATCCATGAGCATGGTATGTTTTTCCATTTGTGTCGTTTCTGATTTCTTTCGGCCGTGTTTTGTAATTCTCATTGCAGAGATATTTTACCTCCCTGGTTAGCTGTATTCCTAGATAGTTTGTTCTTCTTGTGGCGATTGTGAATGAGATCACGTTCTTGATTTGGCTCTCAGCTTGTATGTTATTGGTGTATACAAATACTGATTTTTGTGCATTGATTTTTTTTTATCCTAAAACTTTGCTGAAGTTGTTTATAAGAGCTAGAAGCCTCTGGTCAGACTATGAAGTTTTCTAGGTATAGCATCTCTATATTATTCTTGATATAGTATTTCTGGGTATAGTATAATCTGTGAAGAGAAATAGTTTGACTTCCTCTCTTCCTAATTGGATGCCTTTTATTTCTTTCTCTTGCCTGATTGCTCTTGCTAGGACTTCCAGTACTCTGGTTAAATAGGAGTGGTGAAAGTGGGCATCCTTGTCTTATTCTGGTTCTCAAAAGGAATGCTTCCCCCTTTTGCCTATTCAGTATGATGATGTTGTCTCTGGGTTCATTGCCCATTTTTCTATTACGGTCTATGTCTTTTTTTATTGATTGGCTAATGTTTCTTATTCTGTTATACATGGTACAGATATTTTCTTCTAGTTTGCACTTTTTTGGTTTATGTCTTCTTTCTCCACAACACATTTTAATTTTACTCTAGTCAGTTGTGTCACTGTTTTCCTAGAGTGTTTCCCATTATGTGTTACAAAGTTAGTTCTTGTATCAATTAGAGTCCCATGAGGAAAGAGAAATCACATAGTAACTGGAATAGGGAAAGTTGATTATTAACCAAACCAGGGATTCGAGTAACAAGATATTGGCTAGTAAGATGTGAAGACATCCTTAAAGAATATAGGAATAGATATGCCTATGGCTATAATAGATCATCCCCTTAAGCCTGTCCCCTCCTCATTCCTGCCTACAGGGCTGAGATCCAGACTTTGTCAGAGCCTAGAGAAGTCGCTGTGGTGCTGTGCTTGCAGAATTTGCTGAAAATCTACCTTCCCAATTTGCAGGAGATCCATCCCCTAGGGTGCATGGGGAGGTATCTTGATCAAGAGAATCTGCTATGAAACTGCCCCAGGAGTATGCTAGGGAACCTAATGGCCACTAGGTGCTGCTGGCTGCATGAACTGTAGGACCCTGATACTGGAAAAGCCACCTGGGATGCAGGAACCTAGAGCTAAAGCCACCAGTACATGCTATAAGATCTTGCTAGGAAGAGCCATAGAAACCAGGAAGAAAAGCACCTTCAGCATGCAATATCTCTTTAGCACACTCTACTGACAAAGTTTAACATGGTGCTACCTGGCAAAGGAAAAATATTTTAAAGGTCCAGCTGCATATTCTGTGGAGCAACAGTGAAAGAGGAATTGGAGATAATGGGTAATAAAGTGATATATTGCACTGATAATCACTTTAGTAAACCTGGATTTTACTCTTGTGCATGATTTGAGATAATCTTAAACAGTATTTTTTTGTACAGATAAAGCTGGAAACAATTTAAAGATCTGTCAATAAAGAAATGATTGAATAAACTATGGTACTTCCATACTGTAGATTACTATGCAGCAGTAATAGGGGCATATCTACATATATGTACCAATATTGCAAGCTCTGTGAATCATATTGTTGAAGGAAAGGTGACATAAAATTTTAAACTACAAAACACTACTATATATTACAATATGTATACACACATGCACACACACACACGATGTATTCAGAAGTAGGAGTCCTCATAAGATTATAAGAATCTTTTTATTAACATCCATGTACAAACTAATATTTAGTATGCCAAAACACCTAATGTATCTTAACTGTATTAGAAAGATCTTCATGCAATTTTTTTGCTCTGTTCTAGCTAACCTTTTAGTTATAGATGGCACAGAAATAAAGCTTATCTCAGGCCAAATAATTCAAACCTCAAATTAATAAAATTCTTTGCATTTGTAACTTCACATAATAAAAATCTGTGTGTGTTTTGTTGTTCTTTTAGGCAGAGGTTGAAAAGATAATTGCAGTTGCCTGGGACATTTTTCAACCCCTTCTTTTTGGACTAATTGGAGCAGAGGTATCTATTGCGTCTCTCAGACCAGAAACTGTAGGTAAGAATTTAAAAGTGTATTTTGTTAAAATTCACCTTTTTTGGTCAACCTACTTACCAATAAAATCTACTTTATATATTCAGTTGAAATATCTCCAGTTGGTATGTGTACAGTGGTTCCTATTGTCAAAATTATATAAAAAGTTAATTATGATCTAAGTTTTTTAGAGTAGTTGGTTAGAAAATAATGCTTGTTCATCTAAGACAGTATATTTTACACATTTAATATTGTTCCTTGTATATAAAAGTGACACTGCTGACCACTACCCAGAAAATTCAGGCCTTACAATTCTTTTTCCAAGGGTAAGAATATTCATCTAGCCTTGTCCTGAACAAGAGTGAGAATTTTAAAGACAACTATTTAGTTCTATAGTTTGTACCCATGGGATAGAAATGCCTGGTTGTTCATTAATTATTTTATTTATTCATACATTCAAAAGCCATCATATTAAAACTCTCTTGATTCAAAACACTGCACTTAAAAATTAATTTGCATACATGTACTCATTATTTCCTCCTTTCCTTCCATCACAGTATTCTTCCATCCATACTAGGAATCCCATCTCTGGCTACCTCCTTCCGAATCTTCTGTATGGTTTCTTTCCTTTTCTCATACATCGTAAATATCCATATCACAATTTTCTTCTCTTCAGAATTTAGTCTCCAATCTCTCTTACCTTTAAAAAAAAATGCTTCTCTTCTGACACATGCTGCAACATGGATGAACCTTGAGAACATTATGCTAAGTGAAATAAGCCAGTCACAAAAAGACTAACCCTGTATGATTCCACTTACATGAGGTATCCAGAGTAGTCAAACTCATAAATGGTACTTGCCAGGGGCTGGGAGTAGAGGGAAATGGATAGTTGTTGTTTAATGGGTAAGAGTTTAAATTCTGCAAGATGAAAAAATTCTGGAGATTGGTTGCATAATAATGGGAATATACTTAATGATACTAACTATACACATAAAAATCATTAAGATGGTGAATGTTGTGTGTATTTTACTACAATTAAAATAATGTGTATTAAAATAATATGTTAAACTTATATATGTATAAATATATATATATAATTTCTCTATTTCACTTTCCCCCATCTCTACCATGCTACCTCTCTCATCTTCTTTCCAGACTTTTCAAAATAGGTCACTACATTCCCCTTTCCACTTCAGTTTCCATTTCCTTCTATACATTTTAGCGCAGCTTCTGCCTATCACACAACCTGCCAAGCTCTCACCAAGGTAATATTGCTAAATCCAGTCTTTGCTTTACTTGATCTCTCAGCAGCATTTGCTGCTTTTGACCCTCTAACACTTCTTTATATTAAGTTCTTAAACTTCTTATTTCCCAGGGCTGTTTGAGCCTTTCCTTACACCACATGTAGCTTAAACGCTGCCCTTTATCAAAGTTCTTTCCAAGGCCTTCTGTGCCTCTGGCTCTATATCACTTCTCTAACCTTATCTATACTAGTGACATCAACTGTAAACTGTATAATTCCAAACTATTTATCTCTAAATCAATATATCCAGTTGTTGATTGGACAGCACCACTTGTATGTCCTGTTAAACTTCAAACTCAAGTAAAACTTCCTTCTCATCCTCTTCTCAAACTTTCAATGTTTCCTTCTGGGAATGGTATCAACTCTTTATCTTGTACTTCAGGCTACAGATATTTTTGAATACGTTCCAACCTTGAAGAAATACCTTTCAACAAAGAACCACAGAACTTTCCCATAAAAAAGCCATCTGGGGCGACAGAGCGAGACTCCGTCTCAAAAAAAAAAAAAAAAGCCATCTGGCAGATTTACAACAGATCCTCCCGCTATGTCTATCTGATGTTTTATCAACCCTTTGAATTTGAGAAAAGTACTTATCCTTTCTGAGTTTCTGGTTTTTTCAACTATAAAATAATACTTATCCCACCGGTTGTAAGGACTAAGTAAAATAATACATTTAAAGCTTAGTACAGCACTTGGCACAGAGTAAACACTCAACAAATGTTACTTTTTAAAAAAATCACGCTAATACTCAGGAGTCATCTTAGCTGTACCATTCTTAGGTCCAGTAGCATGCAGCAGCACTAGTCACAATCCCTTGTTTGGCAAATGATGATGAACTTGTCTTTATCAACAGAGTTCTACAGGACTACATGGAGTAGCTGTATATGTTAACCAGGGATAAATGGGACCAGTACGACCATTACACATCAGTATGGTGAAACAGTGGTAGACTGCCAGTGTCTGTTTTGATTGGTCAGTGCCCAGCCAGCTCTGATTGGCTAATTCCCTCCATACTGGCTCATAAACACTTTGGATATCACTTCTGGTCTTATACCCTGTAAAGAATTATTGACTTTTTGGGTGAAAATATTACTTTTCCCTCTTTTATGCCCTCAGTTTGTTTATACCTCACTTCCTGTATAATCTACGAATTAGTTGTTTATGTTTCTGTCTTCCTCTGACTTTCAGGCAAAGTCTATATATTGTACATTTATGTGTACCCAGTACTTAGTTTAAAGCTTATTACTTATCATTTAATCATATCATTTAATAAATTCTTCTTACACACATGAAAAAGCATGGTTCTTGCTATAAAGCATAATACATATATAACATTCAAATCTTCCATATAAGAATTCAAATATGCTTAATTTCTGGTTTTAATCTAAGGAAACACCTTATTTTAAACAAATTGCCTGATTGATCCTTAATATTAATTGTTTTTATATATTCTGCCTAAACATTTTTGTATTTGTAATTTTTTAATGCTTTAAAAATTATTTCTGTTGATGGTTATTTTGAATTAGTTACCATGAGATACAGTTTCTCTCCTGGTATTTTATTATTTCTAAAAATTGAATATTTCTTACAGGCCTTTGTGTTGCCACCGTAGGCATTGCAGTATTGATACGAATTTTGACTACATTTCTGATGGTGTGTTTTGCTGGTTTTAACTTACAAGAAAAGATATTTATTTCTTTTGCATGGCTTCCAAAGGCCACAGTTCAGGTATGATGGATAGGATGGCTTAGTATTTTAACTGCTATTTCTGCATGACACCTTGAAATATTGAATCAGAGGGCTTGTTTAAATTTAGTGAAAATAAATAATTGAAGTGGATGTGTGAAAAGTTTATCCTAATCTATTCTTTAAAAACTGTATTTTTGGTATATTCATTCCTTAAATGTGATAGCTCATTAAATTTCCTTAGATCACCAGGGTACAAGTAAAAATCCAGTAAATCCCTATTCTACTAGAAAGCAGTAGTAACAGGAGAGAAGAGTTTGAATTTCATCAGTCAGCACTCTCTAAGTCACCCAAGGAAAGAGTTGTTAACTCTTTTCATGTTAATAGCTTCCAAGAAAAGAATAAAATAGAAATAACATGGCCCCCTTAATGTTTGGAGATATTTTAATGTTAATATGATTGACGATCAGTTGAGCTTGACCAGAGTCTTTGTATGTAATGGAGAAAAGATTTATTGAAAAACAACCTAGAAAGTAGTTTATTGATTTCCTAGATTATTAGTTGGTATTAATTATTCAAAACTCACTGAACTTCCTGGCAAATGTCTCATTCACTTAACCAAAAATTTGTGCATTCTAATAAACATGTGATAAATAAAGCTATTATAGATAGGTGCTTGAATTTGTTGACCATGCATTTGTCAGAATACCTATGATTGCTAATTAAGTTAGAACTATATAGATTATGATTTGTTGCAAATGTGATGTATCTTTGGTTGTATAGTTTCAGACTAATTACATCAAACAACATTTAACTGTTTTGTCCCAGATTATTTTATAATTAAATATTCAAATTTATGTTATTAAGGAATTAAAAATCAAGATTTTTCACTTAGGAGGCTTTGGGGGATGTGTATGCTCAGTAATTATATTCCAGATTTCAATTATATGCTCTTTGCATTTGGGCATTACTCCAGAATTTCCCTCACCCCATCAGACTTTCAAAAATGTCTGAAACATAATGGCTAAGAGTTCTATAAAAAGGTCTCTGGACAGCAATGTGACCAACCAAACTTCAGGAGTTCTATTGTAGAAGGGAAAGGGGGCATTCAGGTTTTTGTGAGCAATTAGTAGTTTCTGCCATTGTGTCAGATGCACACTTTTCTTTCTCATTGTCTTAGAGGCTTACATTGTTCTCTGTGGAATAAGGGAAAACCAGATTAATTAATACATTTTTCCCATCTGCACTGATAATATTGCATTTTACCTCTACAAGAAACCGAGAATTTTCATAATACTTTCCAATAGATACATTCCAAATAAAATATTTCACCAACTTGTGAGGCAAAGAGTTGACCAAATACCTAATAAAATCAGCGTCAAGTTGTCAAGGTGTCCACTATTTTCATGTTTCATGATGTTTGACAATGAGTTTAAGCTCTAAAGTAATATATATTTATTTAAAATTTAACAGTTTTCAGTAGGTATCACTGCATGTTTTTCATCTTATTTTTTAGTTCCAGATTCCTAAAGATAAAAGGAGATGACCAATAATTTTCATCTTTATTCAGGAAAAATTTAGTACATAGAACTTTATGTTATATTTAATTAATATTGTGAGTCTGGATTTGCTTTGTGTTTTGAAATGTATTTTACTGATATTTATGTAACCCTACCTTACACAGATAGGTACAAATGAGTCATCAGTATGTTCCCACACAAGGGCAGAGAGAGTTTTTAAATCATCAGAACCAAGCTGAGCTGGGCACAGTGACTTACACCTGTAATACCAGCACTTTGGGAGGCTTAGGAGGGAGGATCACTTGAGGCCAGGAGTTCAAGACCAGTCTAGGCAACACAGCGAGACCCTGTCTCTAAAAAAGTAAAAAACCAAAACAAAAAAAACCTGCAATACGCTTTGAAAGAAGACTAAAAGAACTTTCTTAGTTGAGCAAAAAACCAAGCAATTTGCTTTAGCAAACAATAAAAAAATTCATTTTTTATATGTGCTTGTCTTATCATGATTTCATCTTTACCCTTAAACTTTTATAGGCTGCAATAGGATCTGTGGCTTTGGACACAGCAAGGTCGCATGGAGAGAAACAATTAGAAGACTACGGAATGGATGTGTTGACAGTGGCATTTTTGTCCATCCTTATCACAGCCCCAATTGGAAGTCTGCTTATTGGTTTACTGGGCCCCAGGCTTTTGCAGAAAGTTGAACATCAAAATAAAGATGAAGAAGTTCAAGGAGAAACTTCTGTGCAAGTTTAGAGGTGAAAAGAGAGAGTGCTGAGCATAATGATCAGAAAGCTGCTACTTTTTTCGAGATGCACATTGAAAAGTGTAGCTATTTCTTTAAACGGCATTTTTAGCCCTTGCTCTTTCCATGTGGGTGGTAATGATCTATATCACCCTTTTCTCTATCTTTTTTTTCAAACACCCCTTCATCATCCATCTTAATTTGCATAAGGACATATCTACTTTAATGTACTACCACAGTTTACAGTTAACATGGGAAAGACCAGCTTCAGTATCCTCTTCAGCTAGGATTGCTCTAACTTTTACCTTTCACAGTTTCCTGATTCATATTTGCCCAGGCTCTGATGCTTTGAATTGGTTTTGGCTCCTCTTTTTTGGTTTTGTTTTTGTTGTTAAACATCATAATGCAGTCGCTCATGAATTTCTACCCTTGTTTCCCTGATAATCTGCCTTTTCTCCATTTCTCCTTCCCTTACTATCTTTCTTTAAATTACTGTAACTGATTGGTCCCACTAAAATTTTAAAGTACATGAAGTATCTTCATTGGTTCATCCTCTTGCCCCCTCCAGATGTCAAAAAACTTTATCCTGCCCCCTAGCTGACCACGCAGATTCCTTTATTTCAGCCGCCCATGTGAGTCTACCTTCCCATAAGGAGTGCCCTAATCCAGCCCTTTTTTTATTTGTTTCTTATGAACCATATCTTTAGGCTCTTCCCATTTCTAGTTGGGAGATAGGTAAGTTTCAAATCTATGCCAGTCTCATGAATATTACATTAGGGTAATGTGCTATAATGAAGAAACAAAAAATACAGTGCTTAAAAGAAAATAGAATTCTATTTCCCTCTAATGAAACTGGCTGGTTGGTTAATACTAACAGGGTTACTCTGCTCATGACGTCTGCTCAGAGTCCCATGTCTTTCTGTCCTGAAGCTCTGCCATGTCCTAGCTTAGGACATGGCTTAACTTATTTACACCAGAGGTTGCAAACATTTTTTGTGAAAAATCAGACCTTGGCGATGACCTTGAGCAGTAGGATATAAATAACTCCCACAGGCTTAGCGTTCTAATAATGGAACACTAGGCATAAATGGGTTAAAAATGGATCTCTACCATGTCTCCATTCTATCAAGAAAAATGCAAGTATAGCAATGTATTTTTGAGGAAGGGATGTGGAAGTTGGACACATCTCTTCTCCTACATTTATTGGTAATGATCATATCCAGCTGTGAGGCAACTAAGTGTTGTCTCTAGGTAAGCATTCATACCCCTAGGAGGAACGGAACATCAGATTTTCGGGGCCAGAGTTTCCACTGTGTTGGATGTTACCATCACTTAGTAGCATATTCTTACATGCAAACAAAAGCTTTTGAAAGACATTGCCTTAAACCAAAAGAGTGACTTCTGTGGCAGTAATTTCAGAAATTGTGACTTGCCAGGAGAGAAAATATTAGAAGAAAGACTTACCTGCATAGGTCATATTTTATCCTACTTTGTAACAGGCCATCTCTGCTTTTGTGTATCACTTGTTAAGTTCCTCTTCACTCTAGGTCATCTTCTGTGTAGTTACTGAAATAATCACATTCACATACAGTTTACAGTTTTTATCATGTTATCTGTGTACCTGAAGTGTTTATTATATACTTGTCATATCCTATCTAAACTCCTCGACCTGGAATTCAAAGTTCATTTTAATTTTGAAGCAGATACTAAATATGTATTAGATTAATGAATTATGAATATCCTAATCCCACCAACTTGATCTGCGTAATAAAGCCCATTCCTCTCTTCATTAGACTTCTGTTTGAGCCCTATCCACCATGGCTTTCACCTCTATTCAAAACTAGTTTAATATTCACTTCTCCTAAATAGCCTTTAATTTTATGTCAGCTTGACTTTGGTTACCTATGGTGCTGTATTCCTTTAATGTTTATGCTCTTGGTTTGGACTTGATTAATTTATACCAGAGGTCAGATAAGTGTTTTGAACTGAACTTCATTGGTTAAGTGCACTTTGCTGGAAGCACCATAAACTTAATAATCATCTGGTCCTCTATTTTTCCTGGCTTTAAAAGTAGATGCATCCAAAAAATACTTACTGAAAGCTTTTGAGATCCAGGCACATCATCAAGAATAATATTGTCCCTGTCCTTAAGGATTTAACAGTCCAATAGAGATGACAGACAATTAAACAAAAGAATGCAAAACAATATGATAAGTGCTATTATGCAGGAACTACAGGGGTGCTAGGGATCCCGTGGCAGGAGCATTCAATCAAACCAAGGGTGGTGGAGTTTAGGCACAGCTTCCTAGAGAAAGTAGGGTATTGGCTGAGGGATGATTAGGACTTAGCCGGCAAAACGGATGTGAGACCAAAAAGTGTTACACTTCATGCTGTTTCCCAGGTCATCAGTGGCATTTTCTCCAAGTAACAGGCTTGGAATATTTATTAACTTATACAAAATACAGTTACTATAACTAAATGAGAATGCTGTTGAATAAGTTTAGGGCCCCTAGGAAAATTAGAAATGGAAGTCCACAGAGTATAGAAATGATTGAAGGACACCTCAAACAGCCACTGCCAATACCTGTTTCATTTTGCAGGTCATGCAGCAAGCTCTTTTCTACCTCTAAGAGGGTAGCCACCATCTAAATCTCTGTGACTGCCCAGTGCTGGCCTTTTGACTTCCTCTATTGGATCTCTGAAATTTGTGCCTATTCCTCGAAGCTCTTTGTAGGAATTTATTGCTATAAGACTATGTTGCTGTTATATATCATGGAGCTGGTGAGGTCAAGAATGACAGAGGCTGACCATTCAGCAGGGCTCACCATGTGAAGGCCAAGGTTTGTTGCCACATGGAAAGTCACATCTCTTGACTTGGTTGGTGAACTTAGGGTTAACCTGATAGAGTACTGACCAACCCAACCTATCCCCACTTAAACCACAGATAGAAACAATTACTCTAACTTTTGGGCCCCTTATACATACTTCTGTCAGAGCACATATAACACTTTTTAAAGTTTATTTACATGTTTGTCTCTTATTAAACCAGCTCCCTATGGGTAGGAACCTTTTCTTAGTTATCCTTGAATCCTCAGCATTTTTCACAGGACATGAAACACAATAGACATTTAATAAACATTTACTGACTAAATCTGAGAGTAAGGGGATCCTCTCTCAATATCAGAAAGCTACTTGCCACACAACAGTTTGGATCTTAGTCTGCTTAGTCTATCTTAGTCAGCTTGGGCTGCTATAACAAAATACCATACACTGGGTGGCTTACACAACAGAAACTTATTTCTATTAAAGGTTGGAGGTTCAAGATCAGGATGCCAGCATTGTTGGGCTCTGGCGAAGTCTCTCTTCCTGGCTTGCCAATGGCCACCTTCTCACTGTGTCATCACATGACGCCGAGAGAGAGCAAGCAAGCTCTCTGGTGTCTCTTCTTATAAGGGTACTCTGATCATATCATGAGGGCCCTATCCTCATGACCTCACCCAAATCTAATTGCCCTCCCAAATCCTCATATCCTAATACATCACATTGGAAGTTGGGGCTTCAACATATAAATCTGTGGGGAAGGACATAATTCAGTCCCTGAAAGAAGTATCGTGTTTCTCAGGACAGTATTTTCCTCTGTGGTATTAATTCCCAATCACCTTGATTGACCTTGATGTCCTCAAAATTTCCTCAGGTATACATTTGCAAATGATCTCACCCACTACATTCTTTAAAAATAATATTGATTATTTTTTCTGATTATAAAAACACATTTTCATTGCAGAAAATTTAGAACACAGAAAAATACAAACAAAACTGAAACTACTTTAATATCAACATCTATTTTATTTTGATTCTTTAAAATTATACTGCAGTTTTGGGGGATGTATTTTCAGAAAGATATCAACTGAATTTGTTGGGTGAAAGGCAACATAAATACTTCATATTTGACTTTTATGATGCTCTGCAGATTAAAGAATTTTGTTGTATATAATGAATGCTAAGCCTTCATGTTTACATTCAGATACTCATTTTGCAATGAATGAAACAGACAAATCCCTGCTTTCATGGAGCTGTTTTTAAAACCCATTTACTCCCTCACTCAGAATATATTATAACATGCCTACTGTGTGCCAGGTCTTGTGCTAGATACTAGGGAATACAGTGATGAACAAGATATTCAAGGGCTTGGTTTTCAATAGAACTTGAATTCTAATGGAAAACTGACCCTGTGAGGAATACAAATATGAACAAAACATGATACTTGCCTTTAAAAACCTTAGAAGGAAATAAGATATGTACAAATAGCTAGTGTAGAAGTTGAGGAAATCTTAGAGGAGCTAATACTTGAACTAGATCTTGAAGAATGGAGAGGATCTGGACGGATGGGGTAGTATTAGGGAGTAAGGTGAAGATGGGAACAACTAATGTGGGAGGCTGGCATAGTAGCAAAGTTTTGAAAACAGTAAAGCCTGGAGCATAGAAAGTGATTAGCACTTGAGACTGATGAAGAGAATTAGAGATAAAACTAGAAAAGAAATTTGGCACTGAAATCATACTAAATAGATCATTGGCCAAATTTTTATTTTTATTGAAGTACTTTCAGAAGTATGAAAATATTTATGTAGAAAGTTTTAAAACTTTTTTATCATGTCAAATATAGTTTTAAAAAATTGCTCTCAGTTAAGATTCTCCTTATTCCTCAAAAGCTTTTGCTTTCTATGGCCTTGTTGCAAATATTATTAATTTACTTATTTTTAAAATACTATTAATTTTTATAAGAAAGGTTATCAGATAATTATTTAAATTTTTTATTGGTAAATTTTCATTATATTGTCTCCCAATGAACCACTATATTTTGTCAATGTCTCAGAACGTTATATTTTTATATGAATCATTTATGTACCTCTCTGTAACAGGTGGGAATTGCTTCATGGCATTTGGGGAGCATGTAATATATTTATAGTTGACTGACTCAAATCCAGCCTGAGCCCTCTGGCCTGTTGAGAATTCCAAAACTCCATTTGTTGATGTGCCCTCCATCTTCCTTGCATGGACCTTAAAGCACTTACCTGTCCAGGAGCCCATTCCTTTTAGAGCGTAAGAGTAGTGCCCTGGAGGCAAACAGACTCCTAGCAAAGGTCTTCCTTCTCAGCTCTACCATTTGTCCCACCTCCCATTATCTTTAGGGATCTACCTGCTTTTCCTATGAGTACAAAACATTTCCTTTTCATGAGTACAAAACATTCCCTTAATCCTGTAATCATGAAACCCTGTCTACTCTCCTGAAATGAGGAAGAAAATTAAATCCTTGCTGAGATGTGTGTATCACGTTGAAGGAGGGAAGGTGTTAAAAACAATAAAAAGGGCAGGGATGTGGTGGCTCATGCTTGTAATCCCAGCACTGTGGCAAGCCAAGGCGGGCAGATCACTTAAGTCCAGGAGTTCAAGGCCTCCTGGGCAACATGTGAAACTCCTCTCTACTAAAAATAAAAAAATTAGCCAGGGGTGGTGGCGCCCGCCTGTAGTCCCACCTACTCAGGAGGCAGAAGGATCACTTGAACCAAGGAGGCGGAGGCTGCGGGGAACCTAGATCGCACTCTGACTGGGGTAATAGAGTGAGACCCTGTGTCAACAACAACAACAAAACCAATAAAAAGATAATTTCGTATTTAAGTTACCCAAGAAGGAACTGTAATTTGAATCAGATCTTAGATGATGACTAAGAAAAAGAACACTCCGGTAGAGGAATTAACGTTAGAAAACACACTGAGTCAAAAAGGAATACAGTGTTCAAGAGTAAACATTGTTTTGAGTGTCAGGAGAAACATTAGATAGGAATGGGTCGTTTATCTTTCTAAGAAATTTGCACTTTCTCCAATAATGGTTGTTTTTGTCTTTTATAGGAAACGTGGATTATATTCCTGGAAACTTTGGGACTGAAAGGCCAAAGCTTCTGGGTCCACCATCAACGCAGCTCTGCTTTCATTTCTTTCACATACAACTTTCCACATAAGATTTCAGGCGGGGGAAAAAAACAAACAAAAAAGGTTTTATATTGATAACAGTATATTGTTTACTTTGTACACAGTGTCTTTGTTCAGACACTTGCTGTGTCTCATTGCACCACCACAGCGTCCTTTAGAGATGAGAAGACAACCTCAGGGAGATGATGTATTTGCCTAGGTCCCATAGCTAGCAAGTGACAGTGCTGCAGTTTAAGCTCAGGCCGTCTTGGGGAGAGACCGTGCTCTTTTACCGTTGCACTTCAAGCTGACTTTAGGGGAAACAATCTGAGTTTTGACAAGTTTACTTCTGGCACATGCAGTCCCCAGCACTGCTTTTTGGCTAAAATGCCCAGTGATGTCAACTCTGTCCCTGGATTTCTACAACCCGATGAGTCAATATTCAGAAGAGACGTCAAAAGGAAAGGGTTCAATAGACAGAAAACACACCAGACACTCCCGGGAGCCCCAGAACCCTGCGCGGGCGGCCAAGACGTCACTTAAACGCGCTGCCGCCCCCCGCCCCGCCCCTGCGCGGAAGTCTAGCCGGGCTTTCGCGTCACTACCCTGCCCACCTGGGTGGCGCGTGGCTTACGCAACGGTTACTGGGCTCCCGGGCCAGCGAGGGCTGCGCAAGAAGTTGTAGGTACGGCCCATTTTTCTTAACTCCGCCCTTCCAAGCCCTTTGGCGCCAGTCCCGGGTCTCCCGCGATCATTTCCTTGCGGTAGGCCCCAGGAGGGCCTTTCCTCCCCGCTCAGTTCAATGTGATGCTTGGGCTCCTCTCCCAGACGCTGGGAAAATAGCCACAGACATTGTCTCTCCTCTCCGTGATTCCTTTCCTTACTCTCTCATCCCACATCTTTCTTCTTTGTTCTCTCTTCCTCCTGTTTTTCTTATTTTACAATTACTCTGCAGTAAGAAAGAAGAGATCTGTCAGTCAAGATTGACTGCAAAATTTTATTAATTTTATTAAGCGTGTACTATTTTACAAATGGTGGATCCCTGCAAATAAACCTTCACATACATGCTCCTGTGATTGAGGATTCTGGGATTGGTTGCCCATCCTGAGAAAGCTGTCTTCCCCCACCCACCCACCTCCACGCCCCTTAATCCTGTTTACTCCTCTTGGCTTTAACCCAGTGGACAAGCACTTCCAGCAGTCCCCAACCTGTTTGGCACCAGGGACCAGTTTCATGGAAGACAATTTGGGGCAGCCGGGGGGAGGCAGGATGGGATGAAACTCTTCCATCTCAGATCATCAGGCATTAGATTCTCATGAGAAGGTGCAAGTTAGATCCCTCGTATGCACAGTTCACAATCGGGTCTGTGCTCCTATGAGAATCTAATGCCTTTACTGATCTGACAGGAGGTGGAGCTCGGGCATAATCCTGTAGCCCCGTCACCTGCTGTGTGGCCTCTTCCTAATAGGCCACAAACCTATACCTGTCCGCTGCCCAGGGGTTGGGGATCCCTTTAGACCAGTGCTTTTGAAGGAAAAAGGACAGTTGCACACATACTGTGTCTGTCACATAAATCAGGAGTGTTACAAGAGCTCTTCAAGGGACCATACCAGGTCCCTCACTCCCCTCTTTGGGTTTCCTAGAGCCTATGAAATAACAGATTCGGTGATGTGGGGAGATAATTAGCCCAGTTGGCACTGAGGGAGGCCACACCCCACTCTCTGATTTTCCTTAGAGATAAATATAATTACTTGTGCAACAGAAGCATGAAAAATAACACTTATTATTGTCACCTTAGAGAATTCATGCCCCAAATATTTTAGTCACTGTGTGCCTATGAAAAGGGCATTCATATTTATTGTCCTCTGGTATTTTTTTTAACTTACTTTTTAAAATTCTATACAGATTTAGTTAGTACAAGTTCAGTTTTGTTGTGTGGATATATTGCATGGTGTTGAAGTCTGGGCTTTTAGAGTACCATGATTTATACTGCTGTTTTTCAGTTGGCTCTTGTCGGAAGGTCCTGGCAATTACAAGACAAAAGGAAATAGGCAGCTGCTGTAATAGTAACATATAACGTATCGTTTTTATAGTACTTCTCATTTTATACTTATTTTCATACTCATCCTGTTTAAACACTTCTGTTGGTTAACGAAATCCCATGTTACTGGGGTGTTTACTAAACACTGAGATTGAACAGTACCTGGAACATAGTGTAATATATTTCCTTAGAAATATATTCCATAGTGTAATATATTTCCTAAGTGTGAAGAGAAACCGGTAGTGAGTTTGGAGGGAGTGATAGGATCTGATTTACATTGTAAAAACGTTTGTTCTGCCTATTACGTGATGACTGAATCATACTGGGTGGGGAGCAAGATCTATAGCAGAAGGCAATTGCAGAAATCCAAAGAGGAATGACAAGTTCGGGATAAAATAGCAGAGAAGTAGATGTATGTGAGCTCTATTTTGGGGGCAGAGCCTACAGACTTTGTGATGTTTTGAATATAGAGGTGATGAAAAAGGAGTCACCTCTAGCCCCTAAGTTTTTGTCTTAAGATTGTGTGGATGGTTATGCCATTTACCAAATGGAAAAGACTAAAGGAGAAAAAGGAGCAGCCAGGGTGGAGTGGGGGGTGGGGGGTGGAGTTTTATTTTGCTTACCTTGATTTTTATATTCTTATTAGAAATCAAAGGTAAGCTGAGTCTTGAGCTCTGCAGAGTGCAAGGAACCAAAGATACAAAGTTGGGAGTCATCAGCATATGTAAAACTACCTAGGGCAAGTGTGCTCACAGAGAACATTGCATTGACTAGTATAAAGCAGAGGAAAAGAAGCAAACAAAGGAGATGGAAGAATAGCCAATGAAGTAAGAAGAAAATCTGAAGAGTGCGGAGACATGAAAGCCAAAACTGGCCGGGCATGGTAGCTCATGCCTGTAATCCCAGCACTTTGGGAAGCTAAGGCAGGAGTTCCAGACCAGCCTGACCAACATGGAGAAACCCCGTCTCTACTAAAAAAGAAACAAACAAAAAAGCCAAGACTACAAAACATGGCCAATGGTATTGAATCATGCTTAGAAATCAAGTAAAATAAAGAGATCTGTGCATTGGATTTTTGAAACATAAAGTAGTTTTATGCCTTGACTAGTACAATGAAGAGAAAATGTGGTGTCAAGAAATTGACATAGTACTGCTGGCTGGGCACGGTGGGTGGCTCACACCTGTAATCCCAGCACTCTGGGAGGCCAAGGCCGGCAGATCACAAGGTCAAGAGACCTGGCCAACATGGTGAAACTCCGTCTCTACTGAAAATACAAAAATTAGCCAGGCGTAGTGGCATGCGCCTGTAGTCCCAGCTACTCGGGAGGCTGAGGGAGGAGAATCACTTGAACCTGGGAGGCAGAGGTTGCAGTGAGCCAAGATCGTGCCACTACACTCCAGCCTGGCAACAGAGCGAGACTCCGTCTCAAAATAAAAAAAAAAAGAGAAAAGAAATTGGCGTAGTATTATAGACATCTCAAGATGTTTTACTATAAAAGAGAGCCAATAAATGGAGGTAATAGAGGAATATGTATGATCAAAGAAGGGTTCTTAAAGATAAAGGATAGTTAAGCATATTTAGACTAATGGGAATAATCCAATAGAGGGGGGTGGAAATGATGGTATAAGAGAGTGTGTATATTTTAGGAGTGAAGTCTTTGAGAAGATAAGAGGGTATGGAATCCAGGGAATATATAGAAGTGTTGGCCTTAGGTAGGAACATGAACATATAATTTTTTTCTTTTTGAGACGGAGTTTCACTCTTGTTACCCAGGCCGCAGTGCAATGGCACCATCTCAGCTCACTGCAACCTCTGCCTCCCAGGTTCAAGCGATTCTCCTGCCTCAGCTTCCTAAGTAGCTGAGATTACAAGCACGCACCACCACGCCTGGCTAATTTTTTTGTATTTTTAGTAGAGACAGGGTTTCACCATGGCCAGGCTGGTCTTGAATTCCTGACCTCTGGTGATCCGCCCGCCTCGGACTCCCACAGTGCTGGGATTACAGGCGTGAGCCACCACGTGCAGCCACATGAACATATAATTTATAGTAATAAGAAGAAAGACAGCAAGTATGGGTAAAGATGCAGATAGATGGGTAGATTCAGTGGTCAGAGGTGAGACCTTTATGCCTGATACTAATACTTTTTCTCAATGAAGATAAGGTATGACGCAAGAATAGTAAGGAGTGAGGAGGCGTATTTGAGTAGGAGGTTTAAGGGGAAAAGATAAGGTACAAAATAGTCATTTGGAGGATGGAAAGCAATCAGAATTGTAGCACAGCTGGGCAAAGTTGAGTGGCCATTTGAGATTTGTGGCCCTGTAAGTGAGTGGCTAAGATACAGTGGAAGAAAAAGACAATAGGAGCTAAGGAGATCAAGGAACTGAAAGACTAGAGTGTTGGGTGTGTAGACCACCTGGGTATTAGTGGTTGACTTAGGAGCTAAATTAGTATTTGAGCCCAGATATCCTGACTTTCTAGGTCAGAGGGTTACCATTTCACTGTGAAACAGTTCACAGCACTACTCTTTTGTGCCACTTACCTACCCTTTTGGTCAACATTAAACAAAATTGTGTACTGACTTTTTTTTTTTTTGGGTCCATACATTCAAATTATAAACTGTCATAGGCTGGTACTTTTGTCTTGTCCCTTTCATACATTAATGTATACTTACTCAATTTTTGGCTTGTTTTTCTTTGTGATTTTTAACCATTTCCATCAATACGTATTTATTAAAGTACAAAAGTCTATCTCTTGGATGGTAAGGCGAAGATGAAGAATTAACTTTGGAAATCCTGTAGCATTACAGAGCTAGGATAACCAGTCATAAGGAAACTTGATCTGCATTGACTTTAATAACAATAATAATAATAGACATCATTTTGGATAACCTTTTACATGTTATGCTTTTATTTTCTCTTTATCTCATTTCATTCTTGTAACTGCCTTTTTCAGATGAGGAAATTGAGACTTAGAGAGGTTAAGGGTCTTGACCAAGGACACATACCTAGTAAGTGGCAGAATTATTAATCACAGTGTTCTGACTCTAAGTCCCATGTTTTCCACTAGATTAGTTTGTCTCTTTGCTTTTTACACTCTGTTGTATCCAAAGTGATATCAAAGAAAAACTCGCTGGGTAGAAAGTATTGGCTGGTTGGTGGCCTCTTAAAATGCAAAGAGTATTTAGTATGTGTTTAAAATCCAATAATTGATGGTATAAATATTTATCTACTATATACTATATTAGGCAATTCAGATAACTCAGAAATGATTATGGAACTGTCTCTTGTTTAATAGTAGGGAAATAGATGGGAACATAAGTCACTAAGAAGCATTTCTTGGACTTCTCTCACATTCTAAATGTGCTTCCACAATACTCTATATTGACCACAGTCTGTACACAGAGGAGAATACAGTATCTGTAATATAATGGGCTCTCAATGAATAGTTGTCAAATTTTAAAATGATGACAGTTAAACAAGGAATTAAAATAATGGGGTGCATGCTGTGATAAGTGTTGGATGCCATGATAAGGATGCATGTTGAAGGTAGTGTCAGGAAATCTTCTGGAAGAAATGACTTCTAAATTGATGAAGCATTAGCTGGATGAAAAGCAAGAGTGTTGGTGTTGGAAGGCAGCATACAGAATGCATAAAGTTTTGGAGATGTAAGACATGGCAAGTTTGAAGAACAAAAATTTAGTATGGCTAAAGTTTAGAGTGTCAAGTGATGAATGAGAAGGTAGGCAGGGTCAAGGTTAGAGCCTTATTCAAAGGGCCCTATAAGCTGAATGTAAGGAGTTTTAACATTTTTCTTCTATGGGAAGTCATTGAGGAATATTAAGAAGGTAGTTACCATAATCAAGCTTACATTTAAGAATATTGTTCTGCATTGTGAAAATTGCATTGAAGAGGAACAAGACTGGATGTGGGGAAAAGCTAGAAGACCAATACAGTGTTTAGGTGGGGAAATGCTTATGGCCTGGACTGGACTAGTGGCAATTTATCTGGAAAGAAATGAATAAAATTTTTAAACATTCAGTAACTGGTATTAATATGATTTAGTAATTCACTTGATGCTAGCGGATAAAGAAAAGCAGCAAGAAAGAATGACTTCTCAGTTTCTATTTTGAGCAACTAGGTCAAAGGTGGCTTCATTCTCTGAGATAGGAAATTATCTAGAGAAGGAAAAACTTTGGTGGGGAAAGATCTTGAGTTTGTGCATATACTAACTTAAGATGCTTGTAAGACAAGTAGAGATATTCAATAAGTAATTAGATATACTAAATAGAATCTTGAGAGCTTTTCTGGTTCAAATTCATCAGCATATTATTTAGAATTATAGCCACGATAGTAGAATAGATGTTGAGGAATGTATATAGAATGAGAAGAGAATAGGGCATAGAGAAGAATTCTGAGGAAGCCCAATATTTAAAGGATGAATAGGGGAAAGAAACCACTAACAAAGACCAAGAAAGGACACCAGAGAGGTAAGGATGATAGAGCAAAGAACAAAGTGACGTGAGAATTCAAAAGGGAAAAAACACATCCAGTTTTTGTAGTGTGCATTGCAGGAAGCTTTATTTAGAATAATCAATGGAAATTTACAAAGAGGTACAGTGGGAAGATGTTTGAACCAAATAAAAGCATGGAGAGCAGTTAACAGTTTGATTGAAATGTAGGGTCACAAGAAAGAACCAGAGAGAAAGCTGGTAAGACAATTTAATTCCATGTATAGCAAACCTTTGATTCTGGATAAGTTTTTGGTAGCATTGTCTATAGTTGAGAAAAACCATTGTGTTTGGTGCTAAGAGAAAGACAAGAATATAAAACATGCCTGGAATGGTTTATGCTATGGTTTGACTATTTATGTCTCTTCCAAAATGTATGTTGAAACTTAATCTCCAGTGCAACAATATTAAGAGGTGGGGCCTTTAGGAAATGATTAGGTCATGAGGGATCTGCCCTCATGAATGTATTATAAAAGTCCTTACAAGAGGGCTGGGGACAGCTAGCTAGGACTTTTTTGCCTTTCTATCCCTTCCACCATGTGAGGACACAATGTTCATTCCCTTCAGAGAATACAGTGTTCAAGGCACCCTTTTGGAAGCAGAGACCTCACCAGACACTGAACCTGACTGAACCTTAATCTTGGATTTCCCAGCCTCCAGGTTTGTGAGAAAATAGATTTCTATTTATAAATTATTCAGTCTCAAGTATTTCAAGTATTTTGGCATAGCAGCAGGAATGGACTAAGAAATTGTTACTAAGAAGTGGAGTGTTCCTATAACAAAACCCATTATTGGGGGGGGTGCCAAGATGGCCGAACAGGAACAGCTCCAGCCTCCAGCTCCCAGCGTGAGTGACACAGAAGACAGGTGATTTCTGCATTTCCAGCTGAGGTACCGGGTTCATCTCACTGGGGCGTGTTGGTCAGTCGATGCAGGACAGTGGGTGCAGCCTAATGAGTGACAGCCGAAGCAGGGCGAGGCATCACCTCACCTGGGAAGCACAAGGGGGAATGGAATTCCTTTTCCTAGCCAAGGGAAACTGTGACACACAACACCTAGAAAATCGGATCACTCCCACCCTAATACTGTGCTTTACCAAGGGTCTTAGCAAAGGGCACACCAGGAGATTATATCCCGTGCCTGGCTTAGAGGGTCCCATGCCCACAAGCCTCCCTCATTGCTAGCACAGCAGTCTGAGATCTAACTGCAAGGCTAGATCTCAGTGAGGCTGGGGGAGGGGCGCCCACAATTGCTGAAGCTTAAGTAGGTAAACAAACCGGCTGGGAAGTTCGAACTTGTTGGAGTCCACTGAAGCTCAAGGAGGCCTGCCTGCCTCTGTAGACTCCACCTTTGGGGACAAGGTATAGCTTAAAAAAAAAAAAAAAAAAGCAGCAGAAACCTCTGCAGATGTAAATGTCCCTGTCTGACAGCATTGAAGAGAGTAGTGATTCTCCCAGCACGGTGGTTGAGATCTGAGAACGGACAGACTGCCTGCTCAAGTGGGTCCCTGACCCCCGAGTAGCCTAACTGGGAGACCCTAACTGGGAGTAGCCTAACTAGAGTGGACCTCAAGCAAACTCCAACAGACCTGCAGATGAGGGTCCTGACTGTTAGGAGGAAAAATAACAAACAGAAAGGACATCCACACCAAAACCCCATCTGTACGTCACCATCATCAAAGATGAAGAGTAGATAAAACCACAAAGATGGGGAAAAAGCAGTGCGGAAAAGCTCAAAATTCAAAAAATCAGAGCACCTCTCCCCCTCCAAAGGAACACAGCTCCTCGCCAGCAATGGAACAAAGCTGGATGGAGAATGACGAGTTGAGAGAAGAAGGGTTCAGTCGATCAAACTTCTCAGAGCTAAAGGAGGAACTATGAACATGTGTCTGTTGTCTGCATAAATGTCTTGTTTTGAGAAGTGTCTGTTCATATCCTTTGCCCACTTTTTGATGGGGTTGTTTGTTTTTTCTCATAAATTTGTTTGAGTTCTTTGTAGGTTCTGGATATTAGCCCTTTGTCAGATGGGTAGATTGCAAAAATGTTCTCCCATTCTGTAGGTTGCCTGTTCACTCTGATGGCAGTTTCTTTTGCTGTGCAGAAGCTCTTTCGTTTAATTAGATCCCATTTGTCAATTTTGGCTTTTGTTGCCATTGCTTCCGGTGTTTGAGACATGAAGTCCTTGCCCATGCCTATGTCCTGAATGGTATTGCCTAGGTTTTCTTCTAGGGTTTTTATGGTTTTAGGTCTAACATTTAAGTCTCTAATCCATCTTGAATTAATTTTTGTATAAAGTGTAAGGAAGGGATCCAGTTTCAGCTTTCTACGTATGGCTAGCCAGTTTTCCCAGCACCATTTATTAAATAGGGAATCCTTTCCCCGTTTCTTGTTTTTGTCAGGTTTGTCAAAGATCAGATGGCTGTAGATGTGTGGTATTATTTCTGAGGGCTCTGTTCTTTTCCATTGTTCTATATCTCTGTTTTGGTGCCAGTACCTTGATGTTTTGGTTACTGCAGCCTTGTAGTGTAGTTTGAAGTCAGGTAGCGTGATGCCTCCAGCTTTGTTCTTTTAACTTAGGAGTGTCTTGGCAATGCGGCTCTTTTTTGGTTCCATATGAACTTGAAAGTAGTATTTTCCAATTCTGTGAAGAAAGTCATTAGTAGCTTGATGGGGATGGCATTGAATCTATAAATTACCTTGGGCAGTATGACCATTTTCATGATATTGATTCTTCCTATCCATGAGCATGGAATGTTTTTCCATTTGTGTCCTCTTTTATTTCACTGAGCAGTGGTTTGTAGTTCTCCTTGAAGAGGTCCTTCACATCCCTTGTAAGTTGGATTCCTAGGTATTTTATTCTCTTTGAAGCAATTGTGAATGGGAGTTCACTCATGATTTGGCTCTCTGTTTGTCTGTTATTGATGTATAAGAATGCTAGTGATTTTTGCACATTGATTTTGTATCCTGAGACTTTGCTGAAGTTGCTTATCAGCTTAAGGAGATTTTGGGCTGAAACGATGGGGTTTTCTAAATATACAATCATGTCATCTGCAAACAGGGACAATATGACTTCCTCTTTTCCTAATTGAATACCCTTTATATCTTTCTCCTGGCTGATTGCCCTGGCCAGAACTTCCAACACTATGTTGAATAGGAGTGGTGAGAGAGGGCATCCCTGTCTTGTGCCAGTTTTCAAGGGGAATGCTTCCAGTTTTTGCCCATTCAGTATGTTATTGGCTGTGGGTTTGTCATAAATAGCTCTTATTATTTTGAGATATGTTCCATCAATACCAAATTATTGAGAGTTTTTATCATGAAGCACTATTGAATTTTGTCGAAGGCCTTTTCTGCATCTATTGAGATAATCATGTGGTTTTCGTCTTTGGTTCTGTTTATATGCTGGATTACGTTTATTGATTTGCGTATGTTGAACCAGCCTTGCGGCCCAGGGATGAGGCCCACTTAATCATGGTGGATAAGCTTTTTGATGTGCTGCTGGATTTGGTTTGCCAGTATTTTATTGAGGATTTTCACATCAATGTTCATCAGGGATATTGGTCTAAAATTCTCTTTTTTTTGTTGTGTCTCTGCCAAGCTTTGGTATCAGGATAATGTTGGCCTCATAAAATGAGTTAGAGTTGAGTTCAATTCCTGGATATCCTTGTTAACTTTCTGTCTCGTTGATCTGTCTCATGTTGACAGTGGGGTGTTAAAGTCTCCCATTATTATTGTGTGGGAGTCTGAGTCTCTTGTAAGTCTCTAAGCACTTGCTTTATGAATCTAGGTGCTCCTGTATTAGGTACATATATATTTAGGATAGTTAGCTCTTCCTGTTGAATTGATCCCTTTACCATTATGTAATGGCCTTCTTTGTCTTCTTTGATCTTTGTTGGTTTAAAGTGTGTTTTATTAGAGACTAGGATTGCAACCCCTGCCTTTTTTTGTTTTCCGTTTGTTTGATAGATCTTCCTTCATCCCTTTATTTTGAGCTTATGTGTGTCTCTGCACGTGAGATAGGTTTCCTGGATACAGCAGATTGATGGGTCTCGACTCTTTATCCAATTTGCCAGCCTGTGTCTTTTAATTGGAGCATTTAGCCCATTTACACTTAAGGTTAATATTGTTATGTGTGAACTTGATCCTGTCATTATGATGTTAGCTGGTTATTTTGCTCATTAGTTGATGCAGTTTCTTCCTAGCATTGATGGTCTTTACATTTTGACATGTTTTTGCAGTGGCTGGTACTGATTATTCCTTTCCATGTTTAGTGCTTCCTTCAGGAGCTCTTGTAAGGCAGGCCTGGTGGTGACAAAATCTTTCAGCATTTGCTTATCTGTAAAGGATTTTATTTCTCCTTCACTTATGAAACTTAGTTTGGCCGGATATGAAATTTGGGTTGAAAATTCTTTTCTTTAAGAATGTTGAATATTGGCCCCCACTCTCTTCTGGCTTGTAGAGTTTCTGCCGAGAGATCTGCTGTTAGTCTGATGGGCTTCCCTTTGTGGGTAACCCAAGCTTTCTGTCTGGCTGCCCTTAACATTTTTTCCTTCGTTTCTACTTTGGTGAATCTGACAAGTATGTATCTTGGAGTTGCTCTTCTTGAGGAATATCTTTGTGGCGTTCTCTGTATTTTCTGAATTTCAATTTTGGCATGCCTTGCTAGGTTGGGGAAGTTCTCCTGGCTAATATCCTGAAGAGTGTTTTCCAACTTGGTTCCATTCTCCCCGTCACTTTCAGGTACACCAATCAGCCGTAGATTTGGTCTTTTCACATAGTCCCATATTTCTTGGAGGCTTTGTTCATTTCTTTTTACTCTTTTTTCTCTAAACTTCTCTTCTTGCTTCATTTCATTCATTTGATCTTCAGTCACTGATACCTTTTCTTCCAGTTGATCGAGTCGGTTACTGAAGCTTGTGCATTTGTCACGTAGTTCTCATGTCATGGTTTTCATCTCTATCAGTTCGTTTGTGGACTTCTCTGCATTGGTTATTCTAGTTAGCCATTTGTCAAATCTTTTTTCAAGGTTTTTAGTTTCTTTGCACTGGGTTTGAACTTCCTCCTTTAGCTTGGAGAAGTTTGATTGTCTGAAGTCTTCTTCTCTCAACTCATCAAAGTCATTCTCCATCCAGCTTTGTTCCATTGCTGGCAAGGAGCTGCATCCTTTGGAGGGGGAGAGGCACTCTAATTTTTAGAATATCCAGCTTTTTTGTACTGCTTTTTCCCCATCTTTGTGGTTTTATCTACCTTTGGTCTTTGATGATGGTGACATACATATAGGGTTTTGGTGTGGATGTCCTTTCTGTTTGTTATTTTTCCTTCTAACAGTCAGGACCCTCAGCTGCAGGTCTGTTGGAGTTTCCTTGAGGTCCACTCCAGACCCTGTTTGCCTGGGTATCAGCAGCGGAAGCTGCAGAAGAGTGAATATTGCTAAACAGCAAATGTTGCTGTCTGGTCATTCCTCTGGAAGCTTCGTCTCAGAGGTGTACCCAGCAGTGTGAGCTCAGTGTGAGGTGTCAGTCTGCCCCTAGTGGGGGATGTCTCCCAGTTAGGCTACTCGGGGGTCAGGAACCCATGTGAGCGGACAATCTGTCCGTTCTCAGATCTCAAACTCCGTGCTGGGAAAATCACGACTCTCTTCAAAACTGTCAGATGGGGACATTTACATCGGCAGAGGTTTCTGCTGCCTTTTGTTTGACTATGCCCGGTCCCCAGAGGTGGAGTCTACAGAGGCAGGCAGGCCTCCTTGAGCTTCGGTGGACTCCACCCAGTTCGATCTTCCCAGCCAGTTTGTTTACCTACTTAAGCCTCTGCAATGGCGGGCACCCCTCCCCCAGCCTCGCTGCCACCTTGCAGTTAGATCTCAGACTGCTGTGCTAGCAATGAGGGTGGCTCCGTGGACGTGGGACACCTGGAGCCAGGCACAGGATATAATCTCCCCGTGTGCTGTTTGCTAAGACCCTTGGTAAAGCGCAGTTTTAGGGTGGGAGTGACCAGATTTTCCAGGTGTTGTATGTCACGGTTTCCCTTGGCTAGAAAAGGGAATTCCCTTCCCCCTTGCACTTCCCAAGTGTGGCGATGCCTTGCCCTGCTTCAGCTCACGCTGCGTGCGCTGCACCCACTGTCCTGCCCCAGTTGTCCAACACGCCCCAGTGAGATGAACCCTGTACCTCAGTTGGAAATGCAGAAATCACCCATCTTCTGTGTCGCTCATGCTGGGAACTGGAGGCTGGAGCTGTTCGTATTCTGCATCTTGGCGCGGATCAAGTCTGAATGCTTTTTTATAGAGTATTCTGTTGTGCATGTAGGTCTCAAATTCATTTGTTCAGAAAGATGTATACTGTGGTTGTTTTTAACATGTTAATCTTTTATCTAACCTCAAGAAGAGTTCTTTGTTTGAAAAGTAGCAATAGTTCCAAAGATTCCAAAGCAATACATACTCACAAACACAACTGTTGATGCATGTGTTTTACCTAACATTAATTGAATAAGTATGTGTTAAATGCCTATTACATGTCAGCAATGCATAGCAGGTAAGAGAACAGACTATGTATTTAAACACACTGGAATTCAAAATCCCAGCTTTGCCACTCTCAATGGAGGTAAAAGAGCTGCAGTCTCATTTAGAATAATTTATACTGAATTCCATATACATTATGATTTTTGAAGGAAATTTCAGTTCTTATTTATCCAATTATTAATGCTATTGTCAAATTTAATTGGCATTCCTTCTATAGAGGAGAGAGGTGAGGAATTATTTAAAAGTATTTAGCTGGGATACAAAAGTAAACCATCCACATTTAGAAGAGTACAAATTGGCCATAAGGTTTTGCTAAATGGTCTGTGATATATAGTCACTAGAGGTCACTATTGCATAACATTTCTCCAAAAGCATAAACCCATAGTACTGTGTATGGACACACCAAGGAAAGACAAGTTGTTTATATTAAGTGATACATATGCACATACACGGCATTTAAGAAATGAAGTTCCCAAGCAGTATGTATTGCTATTCTTTTAGCCTATTTCTTAGTATGTCCCTCAGATAATAGAATCATAGACTTAAAACTGTTAAGACCCGACCAGGTGTGGTGGCTCACGCCTGTAATCCCAGTACTTTGGGAGGCCAAGGTGGACGGATCACAAGGTCAGGAGATCAAAACCATCCTGGCCAACATAGTGAAACCCGTCTCTACCAAAAATACAAAAAATTAACAGCATGCGTCTGTAGTCCCATCTGCTCGGGAGGCTGGGACAGGAGAATCAGGTGAACCCAGGAGGCGGAGGTTGTAGTGAGCTGAGATCGCGCCACCACACTCCAGCCTGGGCTACAGAGCAAGGCTCCATCTCCAAAAACAAAACAAAACAAAAACAAACAAACAAAAAAACTGTTAAAGCCCTTAGATCATCTAAGATCCTCACTCCCTACCTCACTTTATAGGTTTGGAATTGAGCAAAGGGATGAAATGAAAAATTTACTCAATATGATGTATCAGGGCCAGGTGCGGTGTCTCACGCCTGTATTCCCAGCACTTTGGAAGGCCGAGGCTGGCAGACCGTTCGAGATCAGTCTGGCTAACATGGTGAAACCCTGTCTCTTCCAAAAAATAAAAAATTTAGACGGACATGGTGACGCACGTCAGTAGTCCTAGCTATTCGGGAGGCTGAGGCAGAATCGCTTGAACCCGGGAGGCAGAGGTTGCCTTGAGCCGAGATCACACCACTGCACTCCATTCTGGGCGCTGAGCCTCTGTCAAAAAAAAAAATGTAGCAAATGAAAAACAGAACTTAGATTGCCCAATTCTTTTTACAATACTACACTGTGTCCATTATTAATATATAATCAAACAGACGTTCTAATAAACCAAGGTGAAAATGGAACTTCTAAATCCATCAAATTTTTTCACTATTTTAAAAGCAAAGCCTAGCAACATAACAGCAGTACAGACTTCTAATAAAAGTTTTAAATACCATAGCTTTTGCTGTAAGTTGTACAAACACTTAATTCCCATAATAGCAAGATAGGTATATGTGTATTTATGTATGTACTTACATCTACCTCATTCCAGAAAGGATTTTAAGATGCTTATTGAAATAAGTAGAGCATAAAAATTTTTTAAACTGAGCTGATCATTTATATGTAAGACACTGGAATATAAATCAGTAAGAAATCTTATTTTTGTTAGTACAAAAAGCATGCCATAATTTCTAATAAACGTATACAGTAAACTCATATTTGGCTGTCTGTCCTCAAATTTGATTCTGCTTTCCCTAGGTGTGAATATGAAGAAAAACAGATAGTACTATGCCCATTAAAAGATGATGAGATTTGGGAGGCCAAGGTAGGAGGATCACTTGAGCCCAGAAGTTTGAGACCAGCCTGGGCAACATAGGGAGACTCCGTCCCTACAAAAAAATTAACCAGACATGACATGCCTATAGTCCCAGCTACTTGGGAGACTGAGGCAGGAGGATCACTTGAGCTGGGGAAGTGGAGGATGCAGTGAGCCATGATCACACCACCGCACTCCAGCCTGGGTGACAGACTGTGAATTTCTCTCTCCAGGAAAAAAAAAAGAAAAAAAAAAAGGTGACAAGAGATTGTAAATTACCCAAGATCATACAGCCAGTATATTTCTGATTTCAAGGCAGTTATGCATTTATAGTAATGCCAAGTTACTGTAGCATGGAATGCTTTTCCCTTTGTGTCTTATCTGATTTCTTTCAGCAGTGTTTCGTAATTCTCATTGTAGAGATCCCTCACCTCCCTGGTTAGCTGTATTCCTAGGTATTTTATTCTTTTTGTGGTTGTTGTATATGGAATCTTGTTCTTGATTTGACTCACAGCTTGTACTTGTTGGTGTATAGAAATGCTACTGATTTTTGTACATTGATTTTGTATCCGAAATTTTTCTGTAGTTGTTTGCTGTATCTAGGAGATTTTGGGCAGAGACTATGGGGTTTTCTAGGTTTAGAATCATATCATCTACAGACAGAGATTGTTTGACTCCCTCTCTTCCTACTTGGATACCTTTTCTTTCTTTCTCTTGCCTGATTGCTCTGGCTAGAACTTCCAATATTACATTGAATAGGAGTGTTGAAAGAGGGCATCCTCAGCTTGCTCTGGTTTTCAAGGGTAATACTTCCAGCTTTTGCCTGTTCAGTGTGATGTTGGCTATGGGTTTGTCATAAATGACATTATTTTAAGATATATTCCTTCAATGCCTATTTGTTGAAGGCTTTTATTTATTTTTATTTTTATTTATTTATTTATTTATTTATTTATTTATTTGAGACAGAGTTGGGCTCAGTCGCCCGGCTGGAGTGCAGTGGCACGATCTCAGCTCACTGCAAGCCCTGCCTCCCAGGTTCACGCCATTCTCCTGCCTCAGCCTCCAGAGTAGCTGGGACTACAGGCGCCCGCCACCACAACTGGCTAATTTTTTTTGTAGTTTTAGTAGAGACGGGGTTTCACCGTTTTGGCCAGGATGGTCTTGATTTCCTGACCTCGTGATCCGCCCGTCTCGGCCTCCCAAAGTGCTGGGATTACAGACGTGAGCCACCGTGCCTGGCCTGTTGAAGGCTTTTAACATGAAGTTATGCTGAATTTTATCAAAAGCCATTTCTGCATCTATTGAGATTATTATATGGTTTTGGGGTTTAGTTCTAATTATGTGATAAATCACAATTATTGGTACATATGTTGAACAACTTTGCATCCCATGGATGAAGTCTACTTGATCGTGATGGATTAGCTTTTTCATGTGCTGCTGGATTCCATTTGCTAGTATTTTGCTGAGGATTTTTGCATCAGTGTTCATCAAGGATATTGGCCTTTTTCTTTTTTATTGTGTCTCTGCTAGGTTTGGGTATCAGGATGATGCTATCCTCATAGAATGAGTTGGGGAGTTCTTCCTCTTCAATTTTTTGGAATATTTTCGGTAGTAATCGTACCAGCTTCTCTTTATATATCTGGCAGAATTTGGATGTGAATCAATCTGGTCCTGGGCTTTTTCTAGTTGGTAAGCTTTTATTACTGATTCAATTTCAGAATTCATTATTTGTCTGTTCAGGGTTGTAATTTATTCCTGGTTCAATCTTAGGAGGTTGTACGTTTCCAGAAATTTACCCATTTCTTGTAGGTGTTCTAATTTGTTTGCATAGAGGTATTCGTAATAGTCTCTGAGGATTTTTTTTTGTATTTCTGTGGGGTAATGTCCTTTTGTCATTTCCAATTGTGTTTATTTGGATCTTCTCTCTTTTTTTGTTTGTTAGTCTAGCCGTGGTCTTATTTATTCTTTCAAATAATCTTATTTGTTCTTATTTATAATCTTATTTATTCTTTAAATAATCTTTTTATCTTTCAAAAAAACCAACTCCTCGATTCCTTGATCTTTTTGTATTGCTTGTCATGTCCCAATTTCATTCAGTTCAGGTGTAATTTTGGTTACTTCTTTTCTTCTGCTAACCTTGGGGTTGGTTTGCTCTTGTTTTTCTATTTCCCCTAGGCGTGAGGATAGGTTGTTAATTTGAGATCTTTCTAACTTTTCTATGGGGGCATTTAGTGCTATAGACTTTTCTCTTAGCATGCTTTAGCCCTGTCTCAGAGATTCTGTTATATTGTATCTTTGTTCTCGATAGTTTCAAAGCATTTCTTAATTTCTGACTTAATTTTATTGTTTACCCAAAAGTCATTCAGGAACAGGTTTTTTAATTTCCATGTAACTCTATGGTTTTGAGAGTTCTTTTTAGTATTGATTTCTATTGTTACTGAACTGTGGTCCAAGAGTGTGGTTCAGTTTTTTTTTTTAATTTACTGAGAATTGTTTATGGCTGATCATGTGGCCAATTTGCAGCATGTGCCATGTGCAGATGAGAATAATGTATATTCTATTGTTTGGGGGTGGCAAGTTCTGTAAAAGTCTGTTAGGTTCATTGATCAAGTGTTGAGTACAAGTCCCAAATATCTTTGTCAGTTTTCTGCCTCAGTGGTCTGTCTGGTACTGTCAACAGGATGTTTAAACTTACCACTATTTGTATGTGGTTATCTAAGTTTCTTCATAGGTCTTTAAGAACTTATTTTATGAATGTCTTTGCTTCTGTGGTGGGTGCATGTATATGTTTAGGATAGTTAGGTCTTCTTGTTGAACTGAACCCTTTACCATTATGTAATGTCCTTCTTTGTCATCTTTTTTGATTATTGTTTGTGTAAAGTCTGTTTTGTCTTAAATCAGAATAATAGCCCCTGCTTTTTTCTGTTTTTTATTTGCTTGGTAGATTTTTCTCCATTCCTTTACTTTGAGCTTATAGTTGTCATTGCATGTGAGATGAGTCTTTTGAAAACAGTATATTGTTGGGTCTTGCTTCTTTATCCAACTTGCCATTCTGTGCCTTTTAATTGGGACATTTGGCTCATTTACATTCAGAGTTGATACTTTGATATGTGCAAATTTAATTCTGTCATCATGTTGCTAGCTGGTTATTATGCAGACTTGATTGTGTAGTTTCCGCTTTATAGTGTCAATGGTCTGTGTATTTAAGTGTTTTTGTGGTGGCTGGTAATGGTCTTTAATTTCCATGTTTAGCACTCCCTTCAGGACCTCTTGTAAGGCATGTCTGGTGGTAACAAATTCCCTTAGCGTTTGTTTGTCTGAAAGGATCTTATTTCTCCTTTGCTTATGAAGCCTCTTTTAACTAGATAAGAAATTCTTGGTTGAAATTTCTTTTCTTTAAGAATGCTGAATATAGGCCCCTCAATCTTTTCTGGCTTGTAGAGTTTCTTCTGAAAGGTCCACTTTTAGCTTGATGGCGTTCCACTTGTAGGTGACCTGCCTCTTCTCTCTAGCTGCCTTTAATGCTTTTTTCTTTCATTTTGACCTTGGAGAATCTGAATACTTTGTGTCTTGGCGATAGTCATTTTATATCGTATCTCACAGGGGTTCTCTGCATTTCTTGAATTTGAATATTAGCCTCTCTAGCAAGATTGGGGGAATTTTCATGGATGATATCCTCAAATATGTTTTCCACATTACTTACTCTTTCTCCTTCTCTTTCAGAGACATAGATGAGTTGTAGATTTGTTCTCTTTACATAATCCCCTATTTCTCAGAGATGTTTATTCTTTTTGTTCATCTTTCTTTATTTTTGTCTGACAGAGTTGATTCAAAGAAATGGTCTTCAAGCTCTGAGATTATTTCCTGAGCTTGGTCTATTCTGCTGTTAATACTTGTGGTTATGTTATGAAATTCTTGTAGTAAGTTTCTCAGTTCTATCAGATCAGTTTGGTTCTCTCTTAAAATGACCATTTAATTTTTAAGTTCCTATATCATTTTATTGTATTCCTTAGAATCCTTGCATTGGGTTTCAACTTTCTCCTGAATGTCAATATTCATTCCTGTCCATATTCTGAATTATATGTCTGTCATTTCAGCCTGGTTAAGAATCATTGCTGAGGAACAACTACAGTCATATAGAGGTAAGAAGATACTGGGGCTTCTTGGGTTGCCAGAGTTCTTGTGCTGGTTATTTCTCATCTGTGTGGGCTTATGTTCCTTCAACATTTAAGCTGTTGTCCTGTAGGTAGGGCTTTTTGCTTATATCTTCTTTGATGCCCTTGGGGATTTGGTTGTGGTATAAGGTGGATTCAGTTGTCTGGCTTCATTTCTGGAAGATGTTAAGGAGTCAAGGCTCAGCTCAGCTCTCCTGGGCTAGGTGGTCTAGCTCTGGGGGTCTGAAACCAAGCCCTCAGCTCTGTTCTCTGGCCCCTCAAGGTTAGGAACCTGGTGTGCTGCAGGAGCCAAGGTGTTCCTGGTCCATTGCCACAGTACTCCAAAGGGGAATTACCCCCATTGGAGTGCTTCATTGGGATAGTGGCAAGAGGATCTTTGCTTGCTCACACATTCCAGCTGCCTCAGCAGTGCAAAAGGGTGCATGTGTGTCAGCTGGGGAGGGGCATCAGTGGGAGTAGGGCAGCAGCATTCCTAGATTGAGGTGTTTCTAGAAATATGCAACAACAAAGCAACAATAAACATATTTCAAGATAGTTTAGGATATTTATAACAGTATTTTGAGGATGATGGATCACAGATATTGAATACAAAAACAAGTAAAGAAGGAAGAGGGCAAAAATTTGAGTTAAAGGGTTCATTACTCTGCACATCCTGATGAAAGTGAAGAATAATTGGAAGGGATGAAGTGAATGCGACTGAACAAGAGAACTGAAAGAAGATGAAGTAGTATTCAGAGATGTAGATGCTTGAAATCATGATTATCAATAATAGAGCATTTCAGATGATAGAAGGTTTTAGTGTGGCCTTTCCTTTATTAGAAAGGAAGTAAAGAA